TTTAATCTCACGCTTGGCGTGGGTCAAAATCTAGTAAAGACTTATTCTCAAGGCCAATAAACAAAGTCTTAAACGAAAATATCTATGAAACAAAGAGTCTATGGTTAATCCTTAACATTGATATAGATGGTTATAATATGCTTGCACATGGTTTTACTTAGTACTTTCTCGAGATACCCCGGACTATGGAATAAATATAATTTCAAAAACTATTCACACTGCGTGCACGCTTAATGTTTTTGTTAGTTGTCTATATTTTTTTACGTCCAAAAGGATTAACGAGAGAAATCACAAACTACTGGTTAAATTTAGTCTGCAAATCTTAAGAAATTATCATCTTCTGAAGAGGAAGTTAGGCAACAACCATTGACAAATGTAATATTGTTTCAGGTTGTATCATCTTCTGAAGAGGAAGTTAGGCAACAACCATTGACAAATGTAATATTGTTTCAGGTTGTATCATATATGGATTGATAAATGATGCATGTAGATAGATTACTTGAAAAAGAAAGGCGCATTTGCTGTTTACTTCCAAATCAATCCACATGTGTAAGAAATTAATGCAAAGATGAAGGAATACGATACACAAATAAGTGGTTTTGTCACTAACCAGGAAAAATGTCTACGGAACCTTAGTGACATGAAGCTTGAGAGAAAGAGATTAGAAAATGAGGTACTTTCTCTCTCATCTTTCCGTCTTGTTTAGGTTTTGCAAAGCTACAAGCCATGCTTGTTTCGTCCTTTCCACCGGTCAGATTTATGTTGCTCTAAATCATTAGAACATAGTTTTCTAAAACATTTGCATGTCAAAGAATATACTTTTCATGAGACTTTTTCTTCCACTTTGTTTATAGGTAGTAAGGATGGAGACGGATCACAAGGATTGTTCGGTGAAGGTAGACAAACTTGTTGAGAAGCATACATGGATAGCATCTGAAAAGCAACTTTTCGGAAAAGGAGGGACATATTATGTAGCCAGAGAAAAACTTGAAAAGCTCCAGTCAGATCAATCAAGGTAATTATGTGTTTGAGGATTAACATTTATCTTTATGCAACCTATAATATTGTCCTCACATTCTTGGACTGCAGTATCAATATAACATGCTTTGTTCTTCCTTTCTTGGTTATTATTATCAATTTCCCTCATGAAGCTTGGAAAAAAGGGTGAACAAGAAGGTTATGGCAATGTTTGAAAAAGCAGAAGATGAATACAATGCTCTTATCTCCAATAAAATTACAATTGAGGATAAAACAGAGAGCTATTACGCTGTAATTCAACTGCTTTGCGTGTCATTACTTATGCAATTGCTTTTCGTTTTATGCTAGAATGACAAATTTAAAATCAAGAAAGTGATTGAGGAGCTCGATGAGAAGAAAAAAGAAACCCTGAAAGTTACTTGGGTTAAAGTAAATAAGTGAGTTTGCCTTCTTTCTCTAACACCAAGTCTTATGATCTCATTCACCTTTGTTAAAATCCTTTTGTTTAGGGATTTCGGATCGATCTTTTCAACTCTACTACCCGGTACCATGGCAAAACTAGAACCTCCTGAAAGCGGTAGCTTCCTTGATGGTCTTGAGGTTCGTGTTGCCTTTGGAAAAGTTTGGAAGCAGTCTTTATCAGAACTCAGCGGAGGACAAAGATCTCTTCTTGCGCTATCGCTAATCTTGGCGTTGCTTCTTTTCAAGCCGGCTCCTCTTTATATATTAGACGAGGTAGATACACCTCAGTTTTTTCATTCTCAGATTCTTTGGTAATGTATCTTTAGTATAAAAACTGGCTCGTTTAACACTTTTGAATTATTCAGGTTGATGCAGCTCTTGACATAGGAAGAATGATAAAAGCTCATTTCTCTCACTCGCAGGTCGAAACCTCTATCTCAAGTCTCAAACGCTTTATGTTGTTTACTTAAAAATCCAAGTTTGCTGATTTTGAAAGCTCTGATTCTTGAACAGTTTATCGTGGTTTTGGCTGAAAGAAGGAATGTTCAATAATGCGAATGTTCTTTTCCGGACAAAGTTCGTTGGTGGAGTTTCAACAGTCCAAAGGACAGTAACAAAGCAGACCAAGTGATCTGGTAGATACCTCATTCGAATCATATACTAATATAAATCAATTAATATAGTTCCAAAAACTGTTCATCGCTTAATGTTTTTGACCCTTAATGTTTTGTTAGTTGTCTATACTTTTTATGTCAGAAATTCGGAATTCAAATTCTGAAATCAACCAACAAAAAGTGGGTCGACATGTGTGCACACATGATATATAAGTACATATTTCAGAATATAAGTAAAAAAGATTGAGATTGAAGAAGAAAAAAAAGGGTCTAAAAGCTATATCTCTAGCAAACTAATGAAACAAAGAATCTATGGTTAATCCTTACATGGTGGTAATATGCTTGCACTTGGATCGGATTTGCTAAGTGCTTTCTCGAGATCCTCATGATAGTCCTTGCAGCTACATATGCAGTTCTTGGCTTCCGACAATGATGTAGGGTCTTTTTCTAAAAATAGCTCACGATATTGGTTCACAACCCCACATATTCCGCCGATGAGAAAGAACAATAACAAGCCGATCATAAAAATAATAGCTTTCAGGTCGTCGGACGACGCCATACTTATCTGATTCTAGCTAGGATTTCCCAAATTTAAGAAACTATTCGATATAAAATTAAAGAAACGTAAGATATTTCATTAGGCAGTGCATGTG